TGAGCAGCCCCGCGGCTGATAATCCCCCCCTGCCCCCCCCCCCCCCCCCCCCCCGTCTCCTCCTGGATGCGGCAGGGACAGAAAAACGGAGGGAGCGTTTCATCATCGGACGGGTGAGTTCAGGGATCGAGGCGTTCAAAGACGGCTTCTCCGGCTGACCTCTGACCTCTCCACCCGCAGGAATGTCAGCCACCAATCCCTGCCAGTCACTCTTTTTTCTTTTCTTTTTTTTTTCCCCCCTGCCTCGCTCGTAAAGATTAACAAACGCTGGCTGTCGGGGCAGATAGTGAACATTACAGCCATATATCAGCCAGATCTGGAGCCCCCCCCCTTCCCCATTCCTCCCTCCTCCCCTGTTGAACAACACGTGTCAGACCTTGCTGATTAAATCGAAAGTTCCACCTGGTTGACCATAAACGTTACTTTTATGATGCCAGTAAAACGCGCCATCGCTTTTTTTTTGTTGCCCAAACTGCCATGAAGTTTTTTCCCAGGGGTTTTTTTTTTTTTTTTTTGGGACCCTGACATCTGTTCAGTAGGGGTAAACTTTTCCCCCGGTGAGGGAGGCGGCTGTGTGAGGCTTCAGGTTTTTTTCAGGTTTTCTTCAGGTTTTTTTCAGCAGCCCAAAACAGAAAGAGACAGAAACGAGCGTGGTTTGTTTTTAATCGAGTTCGATTCAGAGGGAATGGCGGCTAACTTCCACAATTAGATGCACGCAACATGTCCGACTTTATTCCTCCTGAATGTCCACGCAGGGGTGAAAGGTACAGATGCCACATACACACACACACACACACACACACACACACACACACACACACACACACACACACACACACACTTGCTGTCTGCAAAAGTCTGAGGCTGGACCTGAGCCACATTTCCCAGAGGCCCCGGCATGTAGACCCAGTTAAATGATTTATGGGGCACCTGAACACACCTTAATGAATAACACGCTTCTTAGCTTTTTTTCAAAGAAGGCTTCAAGTGCGTCAGAAAAATAGCGTGTTTTGTTCTGTGAAGGGTGGTGTTTGTTTGGTTTCTATTCCGAGCTGCCTTAGTTGTAATGAAACGTTTCAATCACAAAGACTGAAGGGATGAGCTGTATGGATTTTCTTTAAATACGTAATACGTATTTCACAGATGTTTTAGTCCACTAATGGTCTCACACACACCTCTGGAAATCCCTGTCTTCTTATTGTCTCTGACTCAACACTGACTCCGCATGAGAGCACAAGTCCAATCTTGATCTCTGTGAATCTGTAAAACCGTTTTTAAAAAAAACAACCTTTTCCACCTACATTCACCACCAAGAGGAGACTGAAATTAACCAAGCCGAGGAGAAAAAAAGAATGATTTAATTTATCACAGAAAAATCTGAAAGGTGTAAATGATTGCTTCTCACTATTTGAATCCTATTCAGACAACTAGTGATGATTTGAATGTCTTTCAAAGTGCGATTCAGCTTTCATTTGATGGAAAATTCCTTTTTTTTTTCAGTGTGTTTCTAAAATAACTTGATTCTTTTACACATCCAAACCCCCCAGTAGATGTAAGCAAACCAATATAGTCTCTCCTCGTCTGTGTATTAGTCAGAGAAGTGGATTTACACAGAAAACAAGCAACAGGTTTCCACTCTCGCCTCATTTAAACGGAGTGAGAGAAGCTCGGCTATCGGATGAAGACGTCCGACGCGGCCCTGAGCCTGAAGACACCACCATTGCTGCCACCACTGCCATCTTCCCGCTCGTCTCTGGGGTCGTGGTCACTAAGCGAGAGCAACCCGGGCCTCTGCTTGGCCTTCTTCCGGTGACCGGTGGCGTTGGGCTGGAAGAGACGGCCGAGCGAATGCAGGCTCCGGGGGCGCTCCGGGAAGGGGTCCGGCTCCCCTCTCCTCTGCCAGTGGGCCGCCCGGTCCCCGTCCCCCGCCCTTCTCTGGGCCCTGGGCTCCCCCAGCATCTCCCTCAGGGTGTCCGAGGTGCCCCCGTGCAGGTAGTGGTAGGCCTTCTTCCCGCAGTTGTCCCTGATGGCGGCGTCGGCGCCGTACTCCCCCACCAGCGCCGCCATGACGTAGCCCTGGTCGTGGAGGGCGGCGATGTGCAGCGGGGTGTAGCCGCCGTGCGCCCGGGCGTTGACGTCCACCTCCACGCCGTCCCGCCGGGCGGCGGCCAGGATCCGGTGGAGCATCTCGCTGCTGCCCCACTTGGCGGCCCAGTGCAGGGCGGTGAACCCGGACACGAAGTCCTTCTTCTGGGCCAGCTGGCCGTCCCCCAGCAGCAGCCCGTACACGTGGCCCCACCGGCCCGCGGCGCACTTGACCAGCCACTCGTGCTCCGCCTGCTCCAGGGGGACGGCCGACGAGGGCGCCCTGGACTCCGCCGGCTCGCTCCTGGACGGCCTCCTCCCGGGGGCGAGCGGGCTTCTCCCGGCCTCCTCCGGCTCCTCTCTCAGTTTGCGGATCTCCACCTTGGTGGAGGCGGGGGGAACCCTCAGGGGCAGAGCGAAGGGTTTGCTCTCACCGGAGCTGGGTTTGGCTTGACCGGCCTCCCCCTGACGGACGCTAAAGGTCAGCATCCTTTTGAGCATAACCTCCCCACTTTTGCTCCTCTGCAGGGCGAGCTGGACCGGAGATATCCCGCTCGTTTCCTCTTGGTCAGCCTCAGAAATGGACGACCCCCCGTCCACCGCTTCTTCTTCTCCTCCTCCTGCGGGGCCCTCTGCGTTTCCATAGGGCGTTTCCGGGCGTGGCCGCTCACCTGGACGCGGGGCCTCGCTGTTTCCCACTAAATGCCGGTAGGCTTTCTTCAGGACCACGCGCCGGACGCCGTCGACCTCTCTGACGACGGCGAGGTCGTTGACCAAAGTCCGGAAGAGCTCCCGGTTGCGCTCCCTCTCCGCGGGGTCCGCGCAGTCCACGGAAGCCGCGAACCGGCTCACCAGGTCGGCCTTCCTCACGCTGCCGCCCTCGGTCACGAGCACGGACAGGACGGACTCCCGCGTCAGGGCCATGTCTCTGGACGCCCGGACCGTGGAAGTCCGAAAACTCCTGACTCCGCCAAGCCCGTGTCGTGGAGCACCTCCTCCTCCTCCTCCTCCTCAGCCTCCGCCTCCACCTGGCCAAGCCGCTCTCTCCTCCCCTACCTGAGCGCGTCCTTCCGGGAAGTGCGCATGCGTGCGTACAATTGGAATAATATACGAAGGTCGTTTGATTTAACACGAATAATTCAGGGGGAAATTTGGAATGGGAAAATATTTCCCGATCACACAAAGTTAAGTTCTCCAGGTTGGAATATGCACGCGCGCGTCTTGGTCCCACAATGCCTTTTAGGTCACGTGGCTCATTTTAAAATGAATAGCCTACAGTCATTTGAACACGTTCATTCCACAGGTATGACCGATATGACCTAATTTCGTGGACACATCATTAAAATTAATTATAAACAACTTGTATTATCGTATTGTAATTTTAAATATTGGCGTAATAATAATTTCAAACGCTTCGAATCTAACTTGATTTCACACGTAAAATGGAGTTTTTGGGCACACATTTGAAAACTTAATATATTGTTTTATGTATTTATTTATTTTTGTTATTTTGTCCACAGCATTAAAAAACAGTGTAAAACAACCAAAAAGAGAATTTTAGGTCTCAGTCCAGAGGGATGGATTGATACCATCATGATCTACGCCATGACGGTTCGGCCTCTGATTGGCTGAATTATTTACTCGTAAAATTGGTTTCTGACCTCATTCATGATTTGAATATTACCCATGCCCGGTATTGACATCATGTCTAGAATGTGGTGAGAACGAGATGTTCGTGTTAAATCAACTTCGGCAGTCTCTACTATCGCTCTGTGGTGCTGTTCCGTCATGTCCTGGCTTGCACCGTGCGTAAGGTGACATTCCTGAACTGAATGGAAGTCCCTGAGAAGAAGTGGCCATATTGAAACGTTTATGTTGCTACCAAAGATTTACAGTAAAGTCAAGATAGTTCCACTGCAGATTTAGCGCGTCTATTGGCGTCAACTGCTTTGAAACACTTCGAAGCCCATTTTAATTCCATCTCCGGAATGCATAAATTGGGATATTGAAATTCCCATCATACAATCAAAAATAAGAAGCAAATAAAATAAAAAAGATGGTTAGTAGTGCACGACGTCGACATTAGTGCGCATGCGCACATGCGTAGAACCACAGCTACTAGGCTTGTTCTTGTTAGCTTTTCTTGTTTAGCGAACTCGTTTTCTTAGATATTCGTTATACATTTTGTCAGACTGTGTAGAAATGTTTTGCGTTTTGCCAACTCTGGGTCGAAGTAAGCCAATATTAGAGAGCTACTGAGCGAAGAATGAGCGAAGTGGCAGGGAGTCCTCTTGTCTCCTAGCTTGGGATCCTCCCATCCCAGCTACCAACTCCTCTCCGCCTTGCGTTCCTCTTTTCACATCTCTGTCAGCTCGCTCCGGTTAGTTCAGCAGGCTACTACGGAGAGACGAGGGCTGCTCCCCTTTCGCCTCTGCTCAGTCTGCTGCTCGGCACACCGACAACCGTACATTCCCCCACCATGGCTGCCACGGACGTTGACATATTTTCGGTAAGCGAATGCCGCGGCGCACCTTGTTCGCGGTGTTTTTTTCGACGGCTGGAAAAAAAAAACGTTGGAGCCGTTTGACTGTGATTAGCAAAAGTGTGTGTACGCTCGTGTTAGCTGGCGCGCGGTGGTATGTAGCTAAGCCTCCCCCGCTTCGGAAGCCTGTTCTACGGGCTCTGCCCGAGAGGTGGAAGCGAATTTGTGTGGCGTTAACCGGGTTTCTCTCGGTAAAGCAGTTGAGGGACGCGGCCGTTGGCGACTTGCTTGAAATGTTGGGTCTCGCGACTGAATTCTTACCCGTTTGCGCGTGGCTGGACCCACTGGTGTAGCGTATGGCGACATTAATTAAGTTGCTTTCGCACCACACACAGGCTCCTCATGTCCACGCAGGGTGTGTGTGTCACGCCTCTTTTGTGCACGATCGTAATGCTGTGGTAAAATATGAGGATTTGTGCAAATGACCATAGAGACAACTAGTTTGGATGTGTAGAGTAATACAGTTGCAAACTTCGAAATGTTTATAAACAAATCTGGGTAAATGCGTTGTAAAAATGGGACACAACTGCAAAGTCTTGAGTTATAAGGATATTTTTTTTATTAGTCACTCAGTTCAACAGTTTCATTTTCCTTTCCAGATGTTCTGACTGCATGTTTAGATATTTTACTATTGTTACTTTGGTCAAACCTTTGGTGTTTCAGTATGAAAAGTTGTGATTTCTCTGGGTCTAAAAGGTATAGTTAGAGTGGAATCGTTTTTCTTCATCAAACCAAAATGAGCAAAAACTGGATCCTGGAGCTGATATCGATGGAAGCTGATATGTGGAATAGGGTTTTATTATTACTTAACCATGTACATTACAAAATGGCACCAAATCCAGTTTGAGTCGTGCTTAATCCCCATTGGCAGACACCCCAAAAATATTTTTCTCACCTCAGGATATATCAGCCAGTTTTGACAGCCAGCTGCTAAATTTAAATCGGAATATATTTTTCGCTGCAATATCAAAGTTGACATACTTTCAGATTAGAGTGAAATAAATTCCCGCTGGGACAAACCCCACTGTCAGGCAGGTGTAACCCAATAGGGAGTGAAGAGCGGGACGGTGCTGGCTAAAAAACACCCAAAGCCCGGTCAGTAACCAAAGTATGACAAACTGTGTTTTAGTGCAGCCGCAAATGCACAGGAGGGAGTTTTAAAGAGAGTGATTAACTTTTTTGGCAGATGCTTGAAAAGGTCCTCGAAGTGGACAGTAAGCAGCATAAAATGCAAGGATAAGGAGATTAAGAACACTCTCAGAGCTACTCTGACTACTTAGTGGTGCGACACATCTTTAAAGAGAGAAAAGGAGACGGTCTGCTGCTGTTGGTTGTTTGTGTTTTATTTATTTTTTTATTTAGGAAGATAATCGCCTGTCACGGGTGGCGGAGGATACTGCAGACAGGTTTTGAAGAATCTCTTTTGGAAAGAAAGTGGGATGTCGGATGGATGGGAAATATGCCGAGAATGCAGTGAGACAGGCCAGTGTTAGAGGCAGCACAGCTCCTAAACTTCCTGTCTAACTTTTTAAACTAAGTGAGACCACATTGAACAAACTGTCGCACTCGCCTGGCTGTTTGTGTAGGGGGGAGGGGGAGGTGTTAATTATGTCCAGCTATTGATAGAGCCGTGCGGTTGGTTGGACTGGAGGTCCACATCGATCCCGCTCAACAGAGACTGTAGCTTTGGGATACCTCTCTGGACCGGATGCACGCCAAGCGGTCAATGCAGTCAGCCGGCCAGCAGCCTCAATTGTTTTCACTGGGGGCCTGCAGCGGAGCGTGTACAGGAACACGTGATGTTGATTAAAATGGTTATGTAATGAAGTGCCCTACAACGTATTTAGCATGTACATTGCTTGCTGACCCTGAAGAGAGCTGCGTCCGCCTCCGGTGCTACACGACTTCATAAAGCTGAGAGCCCATAAAGCTGGAGCGAACAATCTCGTGCCAACTTGCATTCACTTTAAAATGGCACACATCGGATTTATTTGGTAAACTCTTGTCTGGACAACCAAGGCCAGGTCTTTTCTGGACGTCAGCCCCATTGTGTAGCGTTCTGACTGCTGTGTGTCATGTGTGTTTTTCGCTGTGTGTAGAACGGACGGTATAGAGCTGCCTCGAGGCAGGAGCATCAGCCCCGGTTACATGGATGTATAATGACAGGCCAGCAGCTTCTGTGGTGATGAGTCAATATGCCTGCAAAGAATGGAGGAGTTTGTTAAAATGTTGTTGCCGCTACACCTCTTTAGCTTATGTTGAACTCCCATTATTGTGTATGACTTCATTAGACCAAGTAAGGTTATGTCAAACCAGAATTTTCTCAATTTTTTAAAAATATGGTCGCACACTCGGAGTGGTTAATGTGAGGTTTAACTTTTGTCCAGTGAACTTTCCATCTGCTTCACTGATTTGTCGCTGTCTCTAATAATTTGAGACTTTTTTTCCCCCTGGTTTGTTTTCCCTTTGGTCGTAGATGTGCGATGATAATATGGCCATCCAACTGATATGTGCATGACTGTGGGACAAGAGGGCGAGGGAATGGATCTGATGAGATAATAAACGGCAGCCAACTTGTTTTTATCCCTGTGCTCGCGGATTCCTGATGGCCCACGTGACATCCAAATCTCAACCGCCTACATTTTTACCATTACGACATCACTGTCAGCACAAGTAGCTGCAGGAGAATGGCAGTACGCAAGACTAAAAGGTCTTGGCGTGGTGGGGGGGGGCTGTGTTACAGAAATGATTGAGAGTCTTTGGACTAAATGACACTTGATATTGATACAGAAACACCCCAGCATTGTGGGACACTTTCTTTACCATTTCTTGTAGTGGCACACACGGAGAAATTTGAAAGGAAATCCAGCTACATTTTGAGTGTTGGCAGCTGTCGTTGGACAGGAAGCACCGCTCCGCAGCCCCTTCATCTAAAGCACGGAGAGCCTGCGCGTCGGTTTGTCACTAAGGCTGAGGTTAACGTGTGGTTTCTTTTCCCACGCGCTTACAAAGCCCATTCAGGTCCACTGGTGTGTCCAGAGGCCCTTGAACTGACATTTGCACATTTCTTGCAACTCACTCAAATGGCTCATCCTGTAAAGCAAGATTTTGAATGTGAAAACTGCTGTCTTTCTAAGTCATTTTCCCGTAAACTCACCTTTTTGTCATGCACATTCCGAGCCTTAAACATCCACAATTCATGACTTTGGTTTCCTGCCCTGCCGCAAAGGGTTTGCCTTACGGTCATTCAGTATTTGTCTTTGCTTCAAATACGTCTCTGCGGCCTGGACGACATGGCAACAGATACATTTTCCTAGCAATACTTTTGCGGGGGTTCAGGTGGAGGTTTGTTCAAATACCAGCTGGGTTGCATGCCACAGCTGTAGGGGGAGCCAAAGAGCAAACCCACATGGAAATGTGCTATTTAAGGTGAACTAAGTGTTTCTCAAGTTCACCTCAAGTTATTCTGAATATTTTAAGCGTGCCCCAGGTTTTTTTTTCTTTCCTAAACACGCACACTGGGAGGTAGCTTCTGTCTGCTGGGCAGAGGCTCAGCGAGGCAGAAGTGGATGGAGGCAGAATACGAGAACAGAGGTGAAAAGAGGATAGCCGCACAGAAAGTGGGGTTTACAATCTCCGGTCAAATTGTGTCTGGTCTCAATCGTCCCTGTGGGTGCAAAAAAAAGAGTAGGCCTCAGTGTATGTCATTCAAGCCTGGATGGTTCCTGGCTCCTGTCAGGAAGATAAACCTTTGTAATGTTCGAAGAAATTCTTTCTGTTTTATTATGAAAAAGAAATAAATGAGAAAAAGAGAGCAAGCATTTGATTTATACAAACAGTGGAATTATAGTCACACTGCTAAAAGTGTTTTAATGTAGCATATTATTGACATTTTAGAAATACCTTTTTCAGCTTCACTGGATGTTTAACTTGGGCTCTGGGACCTTCAGGTGTCCCAGTGAAGCCCAGGGCAGGCCTGGAGACACGGCATAGTGAAACAGCTAAAAGTCCTCTCGCTGCTCGCTTAGCCGCAGGCTTTTTTGTGTTTTTTTTAAAGCAGGCCGTATTGTTTCATGGCATTTCATCTGGAGGCACCTGGGGCCCCTCGGCGCGGCCGTTTCCTGTCGGCCCGGTGATGCAGCGGCCCAGAGAACTGTGTCCCGTCCTCTCCCTGGGACAGTTAGCCAGAGGCTTTCATTCCTGTCATACTTTAATGCTTCTGCTCTGCACTTCTCCAAAATGAGCATCGGGTAATGAAGAGACTAAAGCCTTCTAAATTCCCAGCGTGGTCTTGCCTGATGGATAAACATTCTGGTTGTTCTTTTACTGAGCTTGTCAGAACTATGCATGTAGAAATAATAAGGCAAACAGAATATTTCTTTATCTGCAGCAGTGCAGGACCTCCAGTTAGTTTGGAGCACTTTCATTAGGAAGAAGAATAGGAATAGAGTCTCAAGTATGCGATCAGCACAAACGACTAAACATACTCCTCTGTTCTTTGTACTTATCAGAGTCTTGGCAAACCATCTGACTTTTCACAGCCTCGCTTTGAACAGTGTTCTCAGTATTTTAATAGGTTTTTCCAAAATTCAATTTTGATAATTACAAAAGAATTCGTCCTTTGACTTGATCTACATTGGAATCCCGGCCCTCCCCCAGAATGCAGTATTTGAACACAGTTGTGTTAAAACACTAAGGGATGTAAGTAGTTCCTCCACCAGCCAGTGCACTGGACACACTCCCTTATTGAGCCGGTCAGAGCCTGGGGAGTTGGCGTCCACGTCTGCACTTCTGTTCAGTGGGATCCTAAATGATAACACTGTTCGGTCAGGTTCTGCAGGCTTTTGTTGTGTCAACCGTCCACACTCACATTTTATGTGCAACCGGCCGCTCAGCCACACAGCTCACCAGTGTGGGACGACCCAGAATTATATCTTGAGTCAGCCATTCTTCTGAATTGGAGAGCTTTACTGTTGAGGTTTGAAAAGTTTGGAGCTATCGATCTGACTAAAGAAGGAACTCGAGACGTGATCCCTTTCATCCTGTTTCACATTCCACATGCAAATATGTGTTGATGGAGGAATAAAAGAGCAGGTCAGCCCTTAATCTAATAGATATTCTGAATGAATAAAGGCTCCCAAATGTAATCACCTTCCCCTATTTAAAACCTCAAGAATCCAGAGTCATTGCACCAGTTTCCCTCCAGACATGATACCAGATCCCACACCCTCCTCCCCGTGGAATCTGACTATCTCAACAAGCTTCAGCCAGGAAGCTAAATACCACAGGGAAGCATTAATGTTGTTAAACAAGCTCTGAGTGTACAGCCACTAACAAAGAAGGGCAGCTCCCCTTTCCTCCCTCTAATCTCTGTAAACGTGAGGAAGGCTTTTTGTGACTGGCAACTAAAGACTGCGGAGCAAAAGCTATATTTAATGGAAACAAGGAAAAATGAAATGGCAAAACAGAGAGCCACAGTGTCCGGCATTTGAATGTCATAAAAGTTCGAAAGACTTCTATCAGAGCGAGTGAATAAATGTAGTTTAAAATACTGCTAAACTTATTTCATAGCAGGACATAAATGACTCGCTCCCCTCCCGTCAGATCAGTCTGGCTGTGTTGTCGTGCATATTTAGCCTTGCTTTTTCTCTATTTCTTTTTAAAATTAGAAAGAGCTCATCCTCAATTGTGAACTCGGTCAGGCCAGTAGGCGATCTGCTGAGTGCTTGACTTGGGGCCAGCCTCAGTTTTCAGTTCAGGGTGCCTGAGTGGATCTGGGCTGAGCTGTGCTCCGCGACTGGCTGTTGGGTGACATCAGCCTTCAAGTATGCAGTCCTCTGCGGCTTATCCAGATGAGATCGGATGGCTCCATTCATCTCCAGGTGCCGTCTGCTCCCCCTCTCCACAGCAGTCGTTCTTGGCTTAGGCTAGGACGCGGATGAGGTGAAAATTCCACAGTCCTTTGCCAGCCACTCTCTCAGTTTGTTGTGTGTCTGTTGTCTTTGTGCTCTGAGTTCAAGGATGCTCCCCTTTTAGTAGCAGATAAATTGCGTGTTTGTCCGCGGTCTCTAAGATTGTGTAGTAATGCTTTGTGGCTGAGGCAAAGTGTTTGGCAACACATAATTCCTTCACATTGTTTAAACTGTTGTCTGAAGAAAAAGATTTAAACCTGCACCATATATATTTTTCTTTGTTGATGATTTACTTCTAATAAATTATGTTTTCTTTTGATTTACTCCATAATTTATTGAACAAAGTCCTTCCATTGGGCCGATAGCATCCCTTTGAGTTTGTCTTCTCTCTGTGTGGAAATGTCTTTAGTCCCTTATGAGGGATTAGTCTTTAAGCTTATCCTCACTGCAGGCTCTGACTACCAAACTCACAATATGTGGAGCTGATGGGTTTTACATCTGCAGAAAGAAAAAGAGGATCTCTGATGTTTACTTGCGTGAGAATGCGAGCGTGTCCTCTTACCTCTGCCTTTACCATGTGCGTTTCTCTTCATGTGCAGCAGAATGTGAATGTTTTGTTTTTTGTCGCTCAGAATGAAGAGAAGCGGAGCCTCAGCTTGGGCGGCCATGTTGGATTCGACAGCCTCCCTGACCAACTGGTCAGTAAATCGGTCACACAGGGTTTTTGTTTCAACATTCTGTGTGTAGGTGAGTACCAAGAATATTTTTTTTTTCTATACTCTCTCAAAACAGTATGAAAAAGATCCTTTTATAATACTTGCTGTCCTTTTTCTCGTCATCATGACCTGATTTGAAATTCCTCTTAGCAGCAGGAAGCCCCCCAAAATGTTGTTCTTCCTCACATGACCCAAATACTCAGGGAGTCCCATTTGAGTGGTTTAAGACTCTCCTTCCTCTGCCTATGTAAATCCACAGGGGAGACGGGCATCGGAAAGTCCACGTTAATGAACACGCTCTTTAACACCATGTTTGAGAACGAAGAGGCGAGCCATTACCAGAATGGCGTGTACCTGCGGCCGAGGACATACGATCTGCAAGAGAGCAACGTCCACCTCAAGCTAACGATCGTAGACACTGTTGGCTTTGGTGATCAGATCAACAAAGAGGACAGGTGAGTTGGACCTGCTGATGGAGCATTCCCGAAAGGCACAGCCATCTGGTTAAGTACAGACCCAAATAGTAGTCAGCTGGAACTCGAAGCACGCGTCTAAAAACAAACTTAAAAGTGGTCTCTGTTTAAATCTTTAGTGGACCAACAGCATGTTCTCCAAATCATTTATATCTATCTTTTTTTTTTTTTTATAAAATCACCACACTTTAAGTTTATCCATGTTGTGAGAAATACAAATGAGAGAAACAGACAGCCCCCGACCCCCCCAATTCTGCACATTTTTCTTGTCTCTGTGGAATGGAAATGGAAGGAGGTGGATGAAGGGGAAGTTGTTTTTCTTCTTTTTTTTTCTTTCTTTCTTTTTTTTTTTTTTTTTTGGTTTAACTATTGTTAGAATTTTGCTAGCCAGCAAACTGCACTCTCACGCCCTCTGATAGCGGCTTTCTCTGCACGCTGTCTAAACCAACACACTGCAGGACAGGCCCTGCAGCGGGCTGTAAATGTCCTCTGACAGAGCTCCAAAGGGTCAGGGCTCGTGCATTCCTCAGAAAATGACTGGGGATGGACGCGGAGGTAGAGGACAGATGACTGTAAACACGGTGCCGGCTGAGGGAAGGGAGCAGATCGCCTCCCCTCTGAGCTTGAGAACGTCATAGAGGTGGTACCCCCGGGTGTTGAAAGGCAAACGAGGAGGTGGAATTTTCGCTATTCGTCGGCAGAAGTAGCACAGACGCGTTCGTTCTAGTGGTGAAGGTTTACTGGACGTTGAGTGATGGCTTGATGGTGAATTGGTACATTTTGATTCGTGTATCTCACAGCTTTAATTGTGCAGTCGGTTCATTTCCTGTAAACATCTGTAATAAATCTAGCTTATATTTACCTACCAGGGAAAACGTTGAACTTAAACCCTCACAGCACAGTTTGGAAAGTGTTTCAAATATTTGACAATGCTTGTAAATATCACCAGCGAGAACTGAAAGTGCAGAGATGCATGTTTTGTTTTTTTAATGTGATTTATATATATTTTTGGCATAAACAATTCCGCTGTGAACTCTCAGAAAGACAGCTGGTTTAGTCTGACCCCAACTCTGACTGGGGGACATCTGCGCACTGTTTCTGTCTAAAATGTAGTCACTTGTGTCAGGCCAATGGACTTTTGTACTTGGCTTCTCATACTAAATGGTCGGTTTCCGACGAGAACTGCTCTACAGTCTCATGCTGGGGAATGTCTCAACATATTCACATTATTAACTGTTCTTGAAATGAGAAATATGAGTAATTTTAATCAAGGGCAATTTGCTTTTTGAGGATCTGTGGTGAGATAGTTCTAGTTTTTATAACATTCTCGGCTTTTTGTCAGGCTAACCAGTAGATCAAACCCACTCATAAAAGGTAGAGTTAGTTTTGTAAGATCTTATTTTATGAATTGCTACTTTCCTTTTTTATTGGGTCATGTTTGAATCATTGGATGGAGTATAAGCACACTTCTGTAAAGTTAAGCTTTGTGAAAGTTGTTCTTTGTGAAAAATGTTTTTTGTTATTTTGAAAATGGCCTGTTTTTAAGACCTGTTTGGTCGGTTTGAACTCGACTTCAATAAACCAAACTCACTTTTCACGCACAACTGAGTTGTACAGCTTTCAGATCTTGGCATCGAATCAAATCACACAGTAACTAAAACCATAACAAACTCATTTCATTTCCTCCACAGCAAGCCCACATTTCTTTCTATATTCATCACTAATGCATGAATGAGAAGACAAATATTTTGCTTTTGGACATGGACGTAAATCCTGCCTCTGTTTGCTTCTCTCCACAGTTACAAGCCCATCGTTGATTACATCGACACGCAGTTTGAAAACTATCTCCAGGAAGAGCTGAAGATCAAGCGCTCGCTGTTTAACTACCACGACACCAGGATCCACATCTGCCTTTATTTCATTGCCCCGACAGGACACTCCCTTAAGTCTCTGGACCTCGTCACTATGAAAAAACTGGACAGCAAGGTATCCACCGGTCACACATACACTTACCCTCTAGCCAAAGAGTCTGAAACTCAGCCTGCCTGTTTGACTGAGACATGGGGGAGCCCTGCTCTCCCAACCAGTCGGTGGACTCTTTGTTCTTCCAGAACAAAGGTTAGAGATATCGATTTAGTAAATGTGGAAATTTCCTTTTTGTTGTTGGAACGCTTGGATAATGCTTTTTTTTTTGGTTGTAAACAAGTCATTTGGCTTTTCATCTTTGGTAAATGATAGTCGGTTAGATTTTGACAGCCTTGATTTAGTTGAAAACATGTCTTCTCTGTGCAGTTTGTCGATAGAATACAACATGTCACATTTTTTATGGTGTCTGACCCCTAACCCTGAGTAAGCAAAAGAGATTCACCAAATTCTTCTCCATCCAGCAAGGGTTTTAATTTCAAGATTTATTTTCATAGTGCCCTTTGTTTCTACATTTCTGTTTGATATATTTGCGGTTTAGTTGCCTAAAGGCATGTATGAGTCAATAATCTCTCAGTAATGCATCGATTGGTGGCTATTTTCATTACTGTTGCGTGAGTATAACTGCGCACGTTATCGGTTGTCGGAATAAGTGGGGGTTTTCGTAATTTGTGCCTCAGCTAGATAACAAAAGGGGAAAAGATTTCCACCACAATAGCACTTTGAGTGTAAAAGAATAGTTAACAGCTTGCAGTGCTGTCATGTTCTCTTTATTTGAAGTATTTTAGTCCAAATAATTCCCCTTCAAATAGCAGGAGCTTATCTGACCTAATAATGAGCTTTTTCTGAAACATGTGGACAGATGTCAGAGCTCAACGACGGACTGATGGACTCCTTCAAAGTTTCGTTATAAAAATGTAAGCCTCAAAACTCAGAAAGCCGCTTCTAAGTTAAATGACACGTGAGGTTTTGAGTGCATTTGTGCAATTTAACATCGAGTCACACCTCTGTGCGGTTCAATAATTGGATCTTTGGAACATCATCAAATTGATCCACAGTATGCTACCCCCGAGGGGTTGTGTTTGCTGTTTCTGCAGTGTTTCCGTGTTTGGAGGACTGCAGGAATGAGAGTAGAAACGAAAACTATTGTGCCGGTAGTTTCTGTTGGTGCAGTGATCTAGTTAATCTACATCAAACCAGATGGTGTAACTCAAATCTTGTAACTCAAAGCTGCCAACTCCCGACACACGGCTCCACGTTTGCCAGTTGTCTCCTGTTAATCGGATTATTGGATGACACTTTATCTAAATTTTGCTTTTCAATATTTTCATGAAGGTAATTCAGTTTAACCCAGCACATCTAACATGACTGTTTTATTGATTTATTGTTAAAGCAAAGCTAGAATTTGGTTACAAAATGAGACAAAACGTACGCAAAGGACAGCGATCCAAATTTAGGACTTGCTGCCGACCGCAGAGCCTCTATCCTGTCTTTACTGGGCAAAAGGGCGATCAAAACCTGGCGCACATTGTTAGCAAGCTGTCTCCTGAAACTGTCCAAAGCAAGGCAGCCAAATCTGACTGCCCTGCGTGGAATCAAGACCAAGTACCGGAGATTTTTTAGATGGATTTGAGCCACCATAAAGTAGCTGACATGAGTGCATTTCCTTATCTAATGCAGTAGCTAGCTAATTATGCTCTTTCCCTTGAAATGAGTGACAGGAAAGGGGCTTAGCAACAATTAGTGGGCTACGTCCCACTGAGCCCATCTGAATGTTCCCCATGCCACTGCTTGATGTGGATTTGTGCTTTTCTCCTGGGTGTTGGCAAAGCAAATCAAACGATCATCAGCCATTGCCAGTTTAGTGTTTTATCTCTCATTTATATCTGGGTGCAGAAAATACCTGCTTTTGTGTCAAAAATTCAGCCAAACCCAGTTCAATCCATTGAATCCGTCATTGTTTCAGATACTTATTTTACATTTACTGAGTTTTTTTTCTTAAAAAAGGAACCAAAAATAATTTAAATAATATTCACCATAAGATTTTTGCATGTTCTATCTAAATATATATATTTTTGAGAGTATAGTTTTCCACATTTGAATAATGACAATACACTTTAAATTATATCCTTATCACTTAAAAAAAGTTTAAGTGGACACAGTTGATAACTAAAGAAAGCTCTTCTATTAGCCAGATGTCCCCATTACGAGAAAAACCATGGAAACGGAGCAGGAACAGCTCTTCCTTCAGCCTCTATGTTTTGCTGTCAGGCCTTAACAATGGTGTTTGTCTTGTTAATGGGGTACAAATCAGCCAGCAGAGGGAGAGTAGCCTTTTATCGGTGATGGCAAGAAGAAAGATAGGAGCCTGAAAGGGGTGGCTTTTTGTTGTCTGTGAAGATTTGCTTTGCATTGGTAGAAATAATTAGTCCCAAAATAACTAAATTTGGGGTTTTGTCGTGGTCAACGAGTAAACAAAAATGGCTTCCCACTAAGCTTTATAAATGTAAAATAAGATTGCGTTTAGTTGCGTTACAGTTGAATGATGTAAGTGAAGATGTGCTGGTCAGCGCACTGAAATTCCATTTTTTTTTGCTTGTTAGTCATACATTTCCAGACAGAAGAGGAAGTGATGAGAGAGACTGGTGACACTGGGCTGATACCAAAAAGAACAGTTAAACGTCAGCATTTTAGAAAGGAATTGAGAATTAGTTGTTGTTTTTTTTATTTGTCATGGAAATAAAATTTATGCATTTGCCTAGAAACAAGGATTCAGTTAACTCCTTATGATAATAAGTTATATTTTTGTTTATATTTTCAAGTATCCAGACCATCTATTACGAGGTTAAAAAAAAGACGTGCAGCCTGTTTTGACGTGTGAAAGCCTAAACTGTTGGTCCATTTCTTTTGTTTTTTTTGCCATTGATCATCCTACATGTGAACCATTCAAATGTGGTTACAGCTGGTGGTCCCCATCGTTCCCAACAAACACCAAACTATTTTTGGAGTGCGCATTGTTCAGCTGGGAAAAAGTCGGCGCTGGGAAGGGAACAAACGACCACCACATCCAGCCGTCCGGCCTCCTCCAGCTCCAGTGGACGCACGGCGGCGATTAGTGAAGGCGGCTTATTAAACAAGGCTTCAGAAAACATCAGTGTTGCTTCCCCGCTGTCGATTAATGATCCAGTGCAGAATGATGAGGCTGTAATTTGACTCCCAAGGAGCGCTGACGTTTGTCCCGAGGCATTCTGTGGAAGCGAAGGGGAATCTATGGGAGTCCTTCCCATGGACCCCGTCAGTGATTTGGGGAAAGCAGCTGTATTTAGGAATGCAGACAAGCTGTTTGTTTATTTTTGCACATCTGTTGCCGATTTCGGATGGAGCCTCGTTTGTTTTTTTCGTCGCTTTGTTTTATGTATGCATTTGATTTCTGACTGACCTTATTCACTGTTGAGCTCTGCTGCATATGTTATTCATATGTCAGCTTCTCTAAAGAAGAGCCTCACAAACCAAATCGCTCTGTTTTTAATATATATAGAACACAAAACATCTTTAAGTTTTTTTAATTTTTTTTATTAATTTCTTTCTCCTAGGTCAACATCATTCCAATAATTGCCAAAGCAGACACCATTTCCAAGAGTGAGCTCCATAAATTCAAAATAAAGATCATGAGTGAGCTGGTGAGCAACGGCGTGCAGATATATCAGTTCCCAACAGACGACGAAGCCGTCAGTGAGATCAATTCCTCCATGAACGTAAGTCACATCTTTCCCTCCGTTCTTCTTTTTTTTTTTACCCCAGACTTCTCAGCTTGCAATGCAGGAGTTTACAAATGCCGAAATAGTTTAAATGTAGAAGAAAATCCCAAATGCGTGTTCCCTCACATCAGTTACACATCTGGAAGCAGCAGCAGTGTTTAGACCGCTTTATTTGCGGTTAACGCAAGATAAGAATTAGTTTCCTTTATGGAGAGTTTGCAGTCCCACAGATTTATAGAAAATATGTGCAGACCCGTTAATATTTAATAGTTTAAGACATTTCAAAGCTGTTAAACCCAATGCTGGCTCTTTAGTGTTCATACTGAATAGTATTATGGTATAAATCTAAAGACCATGGCCTTTAGAAAAGGCCATGGCCAGAAGCTCTGAAACACAAAAAGAAGCTGTAGCTGCTCCTTGTTTCTCACAGTGATGTTTAATCATAAAGCACAGACACACACCCCCTGATGTACAAATGCCCAAATGACATTTAATTCTCTCTGGCACCATCCCTGTACAGTATCCTCATCTATTCATAGTCCGTTACATCAGTGCCCACACTCACCAGCTTGTTCCCCTCTGCTTCAAACAGCCAGCTGGTTTCAACTCCCGCTCTGATCTTTGAGGGAGCGTATCAGGCATGTTTTCCACATGACGCACTACTGTCAGTTCTAATGAGGCGCAGTAGCTCCGCGAGCAGTAATAAAGTGTACGTTTAAGCACTTTGACAAAACGGGCCTCTCAGCCCCATCTAAGCCTCATACGCAGTTTAATATGGCTCCAATTCAGCCGTGTGAGCATTGTTAAATTCTCTGTGGTGTGGTTGCGAAAGGTACACGAGGCTCCAAACGCAGTCGGGACAGCTTTTATTTGGCATTATTAATTTGTTGTTCTATTAAACACCAAACCGCCACAAGCTAGTTAAATTAGGTCTTTCTGTGCTGGGAGGAATGACGAGAGCAGGAAATTCAAAATGAAAGTGGCAGAGGGTCAGGAGAAAGCCACCCATCGAGCAGCAATTGGCCCTCTTTTAACACTTGTAACCTCTCTTCCTGTTGCAGGCCCATCTGCCTTTCGCTGTGGTCGGAAGCGTTGAAGAGGTCAAAGTGGGGAACAAAACAGTGAGGGCCCGACAGTACCCCTGGGGTGTTGTGCAAGGTAGGAACCGTTACAGAGAAACTCCGATTTTGTGTTGTGTTGGTTTGTTTTTTTTGTTTGTTGTTTTACAAGCATACGTTACAGGCGTGCACACGACGGGCCTGCTGTTCTGATTCTTTTCCGCAGGCCGTTTCAAAAAGAAAACACACGGCGTGTTGAGCTGTTTGCCTAAATGATGTTTGTGGCTATTGTAGCTCATATTCCCTCAGTTCTCTGCAGTGGAAGAGCCAGTCGTGCAGAACAATGGCTGTTATATTCAACAGTCATTCTGCTGCATGCCACAGATCTCTAATCAGATACACCCCTCACTTCTCTTTTTAGCAGCAAAATGGTTATGAAGTAGTTACCTGTGGCCACCGTCATTGGCTCAAACCTCCACCTGCACACACAAAAACAACAATTACACCAACAACAGTAGTGCATGTAGTCGTTATGTTTTTTTCTTTTCGAGCCATCTGTGACACACGCAGTCACATGCCTGCTTCCAGTCAGCTCTGTGCCAACATTTTCAACATTTTGAGATGCAAAGGCATGCTCAGTAGAGAAAAGATCAGGTCTGGTCCAAAGGAGTCTCTTTGAAGCTGAAAGATTCGTTTGGGATATGAACAAATAATGCAGCACAAGAATGTGTTTGAATGGATTTAAGCAGGAAGTTGAGCCGACCCAAAGAAATTTGATCAAAAATAGTGTCATTTCTTGGATATCCTCTTCTGACGTATGACTCATGGTTTTATGAGAGTCCATATTTCCATGTGTCTGTTTTAGAGTAAGGGCAGATGTGAGATTATATTGAGTTACGCTTGCATGTAAAGGATAATAAAAGTCTGATCTTAGTGGTGAATGAATAAATGTGATGAAAGGTGTTAGGGGTTGTTTTTTTTTCCCTTATATTTTTGAGGAAGAACACGACTTCCTCGACTGTCTTTCTGTTCCTCTTCCATATTCACCTCCAATGCTGTATTAAGAGCCATTACAAGCTGTGACTCGTCCACAACTGTTGAATGTAAGGACGCGTTATTAGGACATGTTCTCTCTTTAACGTTAACATGTTTTGCCCTTTAAAATGGAACAATACATAAACGGATCGTTTCCTTTGAAATCTCCCCTGCCTGGCCACGGTGGACTCTGGCCCTCGCCCTCTGACAGCAGGGATGAGCTTCAACACACCCCGAGACCCTGACTTGTACCAAGCAGCTCAAGAACATGGATGGAGTGTTTGCTCAGCCCGGCCTCTCCTCAGTGAGAGAGAGCTGTTTTCTGCCTGTGGCACGGTGACGGTTGGGCCCCCACTGTTTGCCTGTTTATTTATACACACCCTGTTAAAGCTGTGTGACTTCCTGCGGAGTGACACTAGAATGAAGGCCGAGACTTTTATGGGGTTTCCAGCGTGCAGCTGTGTTCACTCGCGAGACGCGTGAAGTAGTTTTATGTTGGATCGATGAAATTCTCCCCCTTGTTCTCGTGTGTGCCGCCGCCATTGGACGTATCCCCGCACACCCATCGCCTTTTCCCGCTGAGATGTCGCCCCCTGTGTCGGCCGTCTGGGGGAGTTTTGTTTCCCACAGCTCATTCGTCTTTGTTTGTCTGTGGCGGTAAACAATTTAATTCAATAACGTGACACAGAGATGTGCTGTGAGAATATTATTGCTCACGCGGGAGTTATCCTCCCAGACAAGCTGCCTCCCTTCCTTCCTCCCTGGTTTGCTTCTCTTTATGGCTGACTCCCTTTGCTCCCCCCCATCACAAACTCTCATTCCCCAACCCTCAGAGGACTCTGGTTATTTATGAAGCCTGCCCCGTGTCTCCCGAGGGACATTTCAACTCTCGAGTCACTATGAGGCAACACTCCAATCCAGTAACAGATTAATGCTGTCTATAAAACGTTATCACAGATTTACTCTAAGCTGCTCTGAGGTTTTTCTCCACAGAAGATTTTATTTCTTATTTGTCTTGAGCAGCAGTTGACAGTTATGACTGAAGCAGAACCCGATGATCATGATGCTTGACTTGTTGCTGATTGTATAGGTGTAGTCGTCACGACCCTCTGAGTTATTATATGTTAAACAATACAAATGCCCTTCAATCTGCACACAACTACGCTATGCGTTTGTATTAGCTCTGGTGACTACCAAGAAGGAAATGGGCTCTCTGTCAGATCACAGCACAGCTTGTTACTCGATCCACATACGCTTTGTTTTTGTTTTTTCGCTTCTTTTGTTAAGCGTAGCATAAAACAGAGCAAGTTGTTAAAATAATAACATCGGCTGTAGGGAAATGAATCAAGTTGGCCCCAGAAAGAGGTCTGTGTTTGGAGCACTTGTTGTTATTTTTGTGCAATTATCTTATCACCAGCACCCATCTCTGCGTAGCAACAAATGCCCAGACGGATGAGTCAGGGCTTCCACCTCCCTCTCCACGCTCCATCACTGTGTCAAGAGCTGCGAGGATGGCAGTCCATGTGCTGCACGGTCTTTAGCGGACGGAAAGGAGAACCTCGATCTGTGGAAACGTTTTTACGTGCCAGATGTCATGTTGACGGGTTATGGTAACCGCTCGCAGGGCCTTGAGAAGTTTCCATCTGCTCATGGAAGACAGAAGAAGGACTGTGCCCTGAAAAAAAAGAGAGTAATTCAAAGGGGCTGAGCGAGTGTGCGTGCATATCTTCCCTCTGGATCGCTTGGCTCTCTTATCTCCAAACCCCTGCCATCTGTGACATATAACAGATCCTTGGTATTTCTTCTCTAAAACATTGCAGTAGATGGTTGAACATGGAGGCCATTAAGCGCCAGCTTGCGTGGCGCTTTGGTTCATTTGTTTGTATTGTCAGGAAGAAAGCAGAAGACCATAACAAAACTCTCCCTTACTCTACATGAATATTCAGAATAAGCATTTAACTCGTCCATCATCCTGTTGCTTTGGGATGCATGAATGCAACGGTGCCACCGAAACAGAGGATCAGCTGACAAACGGATAAATGTATTTACCTCATGTGTGAGAACTGATAGTTGTTTTTCTTTTTGCTTCCCTTTCTCCGCTCCGCTCTGTTCTGATTGTGTGTTTGTGTTTGTATGCAGTGCGTTTCTCGCTGTGTGTCAGCAGCTCTTAGCGTTTGGTCATTCTGAGGGTTTCATACTGCAGTCAGTCAGAGGGTTGGCACTCATTCAGCCCCCCAGCAGGGGGGGTGCGGTACTGACAGGCTATTAGAAGCCAAATAAGCAGGCAGTTCCAGTAGGCTGGATGTAGTCTCACAGAGCCATGTGTTCCTTTTTTAATGATGAAAATGAGAGCATATATACAAGCAACCTGATATTACACTTGTTCTTGTTTTTGCAGCATTTAAAGTAATAAGTGTGTGAAACCTTTTTGTTTAGCCTCATCAGTAAGCCTGCCACTGCATTATTTTATTTATTACACCCTTTTAATTTGAACACTGTCAGAGCCTGCAGTACATGATAGCCACTATCCAGAGAATGCTGTGTCATTTCCCAGCATTCAAACTGAAAGGCTGTTTGAATGTCATCGTCACCATTTAACTCTCAGAGCTTGCAGAGCTTTTTTTGTCTTAAAAAAAACAAACAGTATGCAGTACACCTATTATTCCATATTTAGCCTTATGAACACTTCGAGGGGTGCTCATCAATTTTCTATTTTCTCGTACAGGGCAGAGCAATGCAGTTTATAGGCCCAAAACAAATGGTAATGCTGTATAAAATGGCTTTGTTTGCAAAGTTCCTCAGTTGAATCAAATTAATACAAATGTTTCATCATTAACAGCCCTTCAACCAACGCTCGAATAAAACCTTTGACGACCAAAACTTTCTTTCTGGATGACGCGATTTGTGTTTTTTTTTTTTTTTTTTTAGCATCTCTGTTTGAATGATTGTTATAGACATGCACATATATATACACACACACACGCACACACACACACACATACACTTTAGAAAAGACTGGATGTTAGCTCATTTTAAAGTACCAAGGAATAAAGACACCATATCTTTTAGTAGTTTTTCAGGTTTCCACATGAACTCTTAAAGTATTCTGAAGCTCTTAAAAATGGAGACATAAGAGGAAAGGTTCCAAAGGTCTCAAACAAGGCAGGGATTTTTTTGGAGCCAACAGAAGAGATTCTTGCTGCAAGAATATCTTTTATTTTCAGTCATTAAAAAAAAAAGTAGTGGATTCCGTTTCCTCCCAAAGGTCTTAGAAGGCATTAGATATTTCTCTTTTCCCGCCACAGGCAGGGGTGTTAGTTCTAAAGCAGACTTTTGCGGGAGGCTACACACTCGGATAATATGAGCCGCAAATGGGATTGCTAGCATTTTTATGGAATATCTGTTGACAACATCTGCATCATTTTATTTTCCTTTCTATTTTCAAGTCAGAATCCTTTTTCCATGAGTATGTTTTTTCACACCATAAAGGGGATTATTCTTGAAAGGGGATAGGTTTAACTTACCTACCAAGGCCCGCCCGTTCGGCATTGCCATTTTCTTTCCCTCTTCTTGCAGAATAAAGCAGCCGACAGTTCATATTGTTGTGGTGGGTTGAGATGACCCATGGGAAATGGCCTCAGCAGAATGGAGATGATGCTCAGGGCACCAGCTCCTCCTCAGCTGTCAGTCTGTCGGCCAGGACACACTTCCTGCCCCCTTTTTCCACCATCAAGTCATTTAACCGTGAGGCTCACTCAGACGTGAAACCAATCCCAAGTTGTTAAAAGAAAGGAAAAAAAGCAGTCCAGTCTGGATTTTCTTTTTTTTCATTCAATTTCAACACTCTCGATGGTGCACGTATTCCAAATATGCATCCTCTGGTGCATATTGTGCAGACCGTTTCACATTCCTGAAACGATGTGGTACGATTTCCTTCTTTGGAGAGAACATCAGTGAATCATTGTAACAGATGTGGTGTCAAAAGGAGTCGGGGCTCGCGAAAAAAAAGACACTCATGCAGAGGTCTTTGAGAGAAATGCTTCCGTGCGCGTGTTGTTCTTACACTGTGGTCGGCTAACTCCCCAAAAAAAAAAAAAAAACACTGTTTGAGCACACGAAGGTTGTGACGGGCCGATTCCTCCACCATGCACTGATCACAATGCCCCTTGCCTTCGCAGTTGAGAACGAGAGCCACTGCGACTTTGTCAAACTCCGAGAGATGCTGATCCGGGTCAACATGGAGGACCTGAGGGAGCAGACGCACGCCCGCCACTACGAGCTGTACCGGCGCTGCAAGCTGGAGGAGATGGGCTTCAAAGACACAGATCCCGACAGCCAGCCGTTCAGGTAGAGAAGAACACCAGTGGCCGCGTGGAGCACAGAACTACAGAGTTACTCAACTACTGACTGCCTGGAAAGTCTATTGTTTAAGAACAATGCTTACTTTATTTCTGTCCTTTGACTCCGCCCCCCTCCCCTCAATCTTGACTTTTATTCCCTGCAGTCTTCAAGAGACATATGAGGCCAAGAGAAAAGAGTTCTTGGGAGACCTGCAGCGCAAAGAGGAAGAAATGCGACAAATGTTTGTTAATAAAGTCAAGGAAACTGAAGCAGAACTCAAAGAAAAGGAGAGAGAGGTTAGTTGGAAACGCCCTCTTTCTGCACCCACTGTTCTGAGGAGAGAGAACTAGAGAAATGTCTCCTTCTCTGACAGTTTTATAAGATCTGTAATCAGCCCGATAGATACCGCATGGGATGCACACCCTGCCGATTCTACAACTTAAAACTAGGCGAACCCATTGTCATAATCGGTGGAATAAACAAAATGTAGTACTTTTCCCACCTTTGGAGAGATACAGATTGTAATCGGTGTTATTTATTTGTTTTCTTCCCACCCTCCGATCATCCCAACTCGTCACAGCTGCACGACAAGTTTGAGCAGCTGAAGCGGATGCACCAGGACGAGAAGAAGAAAGTGGAGGAGAAGAGGCGAGACCTGGAGGAGGAGATGAACGCCTTCAACAGGAAGAAGGTGGCAGCCGAGACGCTGTCCTTATCTCAGCCTCTCAAGAAAGACAAGGACAAGAAAAAGTAAGGCCGCCGCCGCCCTCCATCACTCACTCCCCTCATTCTGCTGTCCATAACAGGATGCTGCTCTTTTCCACCCAGACCCTTCTCCTTGGAAGTAACTCTCTTTCCTTCCATTGTGTGCCTTTTTTTAGTGTTTAAATGTGCTCCTTCTGCCGATCCACTCTCGCTCCTCTTGGCCTTACTGGTTTTGTTAAATGAGCTTTGTTAGCTCAGAGCAGATGTGTTTTCTGTATCCGGCGGTCAAGAGCCTGGATAATGAGGCTCTAGGCAGCGTGTCGCGCTGCTCTCCACTTATCTGCAGCACACAAGTGTTTCAGCCGGCACAAAGGGCCTGGCATGCGTTAAGGAAGCGTCCTCCCTTTTGTCCTGCCCGAGCCCGACATTTCCGGTACTTTCACTCTTTTCCTTTTCGCTTCCCTCTGATGGTTCAGGGCACTCCAGGATCAGGGGGGGGGGCATTTTCAGATGGGCTGAAAGGACAAAACCTTTACGTAAAAAAAAGAAAAGGACAATCCACATAATGTCCCCTCATTAGTTTTAGTTATTTCAGTGTGCGGTTTATAGAGCAATGGAGGCTTCAGGGGGCTGAACAGAGCGTCTGCACCAGTGGCGGGTTTTTGTGGCGGCGATTCTTCTGCTAAGACGATCACGAAAGCTTAATAATTTACACACACTCGTGATGAGGGAAGAAATCGCCAGACACGCGCTGTCAAGGCAAATGAAACTCTGCCTCTGCTTTCAAGGAACCTGGAGGCCGACCCGCGCAGACAGTTCTTATCTGGGCCCGTCCCGTTTCCACTCGACAGCGTCCCACTGCACTGAACCAGTTTGCTAGCAGAAAAGTTAAAGAAGCCAAGAAGTTACAGAAGAAACTTACAGAAGTTTGCAGCTTTCATTGCCTCTGTTTTAGTTCTTATCTCCAGCTCAGTTCTGAGGTTAGCATAAAATTATCAGGTTTAAGTCCTCTAGAAGTTGTTTGTTTTTTTGGTGGAAATAACTGACGTGAGACTAATGGCTGCCCCAGAGTTTAAGGCAGAAGTTCATGTGGACTGCACATGACTTTAATAGGAGGTTTGAAAGATGGAGAAAGAAAATAAAAAAGCTGACTTCTGGCGCCATCTTGTGACCGTCGAGATGAACTGTTGGCTGTAAAAAATCCCATCTTCCATTTTGTGAATTCCCTGGTAGTTTGCTTTTGGTATTTATGTGGCAGTGTACAGTTTGGGTGTAGTAGTAGTAGTAGTAGTCAGAGGGCAGAAAACGTCCAATGCAAAGACTCCCCTCTCTTGTTTCCTTTTCTACTAACACTGACTTTAGCTGCTGTTTTGATATCCAGATAACTGGGTTTGCTTTATTCACTTTATGTTGTTTATTGTTTCATTGTTTTTCAGTTAATTTATGGCCGCAGTACACCCATCCACTCACGACCATGGATTTGTCCTCCATCACCATAGCAGCGGCATCATCTGGTTACTTATGTTTTTTTTTGTTTGTTTCTTTTTGTCTGGCTTGTTTTTGATTTTGTTTGTTTTTGACATTCCATCTTGACATTGTGCACATGGACCAAAGACACTGAGGATGATGATGATGGTGAAGCCTCGGCAGGGGAAAGAGTGAAAGATGGTGAGAAATAACAAATGAATGACGGAGAAACATCCGCTCTCCACCAGTGGCCATCTCATTAATTCAGGATCTTTCTATCTATGTTGTTTGAAGACTTTTATATATAGATATATAAATATCTGCTTTTTGTTTTCTAAGTCGTGATTTGAATATTTTCTGTTGGTTTTTGAATGCGTGTGCGTGCGTGTGTGCGTGAGTGCGTGCGTGTTAGTGACACCATCAACTGCCCACACAGACGAAACATGAAGTCCCTTAAAACATTTGCCCTTCTTGGTACTACAGCGTAACACAAATGGGCTTAAAAAAATAGAATAAAAAGTGGATCGAACAAAAGACTTGAAATTCAAATTCAGGATTTCCCGATAATTAAAATTCTCAAATCCGTGGCTCATTTTGAAACATTGTGCAGGAATGATGTGTTTGCTAACGTTTTGTAGCCGAGTAGAATAACCCCCTGTGTAGTTTCAGCCCAAGTAAAACATTTAAGTAGCAGTATTTAAAGCAATAATGGAGTACCCGTGCACATAAGAACATTTACAGAGGTACCGACCACCTAAACCTAGTCTTAAAAACCTATGCAATCTCCTGGTGCTGCAAGGCGGTAATCGTATGTGAATATTTTAGCTCTTACTAAACTCAATATGCAAAATGTACAAGGTTTTAAGTATAATATTATACTAAGAAGCTCAAATAATGGAGACCATTGTCTGTAAGTGATTTAACGTTATTGTAAACCATGAGTGAAGCCAGTAAACAGGATTCAGGAAGACATTCATGCCTCAGAGTCACACAGAGAAGAGAGAGCAGCTGTATTTACTGTCTGTTTTTTTTTTTTTGTGAAAAATAAATGCAAACCCTCTCCTGTGATGCTCCCTTTCTTGTGTGATTTGTTTTGTCTGTTTTAAAAAAAATATTTTTAACCCTATGGGGGACGAGGAGGTGCAGAGGCATGTGAGCGATGCTCACCGCTGATCCGGATCCCAAACAGCTGCCAGCCGCCGTTCCCCGTTTCACAAATTCCACCATTCCCGACTGAAGAGCCCCGCCAAGTGTTTTTTAGTTGTTGTTTTGGTTTTCATCGCTGTGCTGCTCACCTCTTTGGTGTGTGTGTGTGTGTGTGTGTGCAGGACAGCTAAAGGTGCGAGTTAAAACACAAAAATCTGCATGATTTTATTTCCTTTCTGTTAGTGAGCAGAGGCTGTGAGAAGTGGAAATAAACTTAGTCTTAATTATTTTAAAAGGCTATACATTTCAAGTCCCTGGCTCAAATGTTAATGCTCATTCCAGGATTTTATGTTTAAAGTTATACGTCTTGTGGAAAAACTGTAGACCTAGAAATGGCGGCGTAATAATGTAGCATAAAAAAGAGAGGAGTTTGGGAAAAAAAAGTAATGGGTATAACCTCAGCTCACTGGAATCTTCAGTTATGAAGAAATAGAAAGTATCTGTACTTAATTTCCAACTTTTGAGTGTTAACATAAATGGTGTTTGATGCTTCAAATGGGATTTTAGTTTAGTTTGGATTAGTTTGTAAGCGTGACTAAATGAGGACAAAAAGGCCGACTCCCATTTTTGTTGGTTTTGTAACGTAACATAAACTAATTAATGCATTTTATCCAGCTTTAAAAAAAAAAAAGACGGGGTTTTGTTCATTTTAAAGGTTTTACTCTTATCTTAAAATCTAACAGAAGTTGCATGTTGATTAATGACCATTATTGTCTCTAGATAATCAGGAAATTGAATTAAGTGGAACTCAGACGTCCTTATTCTTTCCTGAAAACCATTTAGGAAGCAACGCACTACCAGTGTAGGTCTATCTGGTTCCTGCGTCCGTTTTTTTTGTGTTTATTTTTCTTAAACGGCTCTGACAGCAAACAAAGGAAGTCCTGGCACTGAGCGAGCACAGTGTTCTTTTTCCTGCGCAGTCTCCACCTGCACTGTTATCATTCCGTCCACCACCTGCAGGGCCCTCTGGATCCCTGCCAGCAGCACAGTGTGTGTGTGTGTGTGTGTGTGTGTGTGTGTGTGTGTAGCAGCACACTGTGCTAACGGAGCTGGGAGATAATCAGCGGGACAGGCTGTCCTGTAGCAGCAGCTGCTGCCTGCGTCTGTGGATCACCGTGTTCCAAATGATAGGTGTACAACAAGCTCTTTTTGGGTGTTTTTACAATTCATTTTGACTGTTCAAACAGATGACATGGAAGTGAAAGTGTCTTATGATTCTGATTCTATTTCTGTCCAGGAACAAAAAGGGGTAGAAATGGGCCTCTGATACCATGGAGGCACCGGGGAGTTTTTATTTTTTAAGTATTATGGGGAGGAAAAGGAGAACCGTTGGAGCTTTTAAAGAGACGTAAACTCTCTGATAATATATTATCTAAGAGATATATTCCATTATTAGAAGAGAAAGATGAGAGAGTAGTGAAAATATCTTCAGATGGCTGCACTCTTCTGTCCAGATTTTATGAAGGAATCGCCAATCCCCAATTTATTTTTTATTTTTTTGCTGTTAAATGTGAAAAGATGGTGCAGAATCTTTTTGCAACGAGTACCTTTTGGCTGTTAGAGGGAGCAGATATTTAAATACCATTAAAGTGTTAAGCAAGGCTGAAGATTAAATGCAGGGCTGGTTAGAAAACCCCACAAAACTCATGGACTGCTCCAAATGTAAAAACACTGAGGGATTTGTCTGAGGAATTCCTCTCCAGTGGAGCAGTGGAAGGGAAACGGGCAGGGAGCTCAGATCTACAAACCTCTCAGGAAGAGCCAAATTGGAAAAAAACTGGGAATATATATATATATTATTTTTTTTAACTGCTGCCACCCTTCATAATTGGCCCTCTGGGACGAATCTATTCACGGCCACAGAAAATTCCAGGCATGGAAAGCGAAGACTCTTCCAGAGCAGAGAATTGAAAGCAGAGAGAAGCTGTGCGGACACACTTTGGACCATGGAGGAGTTCCCATGAACATGGAGCAGATGGAACTGCCCCAAAAGTTGGGATTTTCACATCTGAAGGTTTCCCTGGCCTCTTCAAGATGTAAGAACCAAAGAAAGAAAAAAAAAACAACACAAACGCCCGTGAGACTTTTGAAGTCGTAGCTTTATTTCTGTGGTTGACCAAACGGTTGGGTGTAGCTGCCTCAGTATCTGGAGGAACACTGACGGATAGGATAGTACAAACTTCTACATTTGTCACCGGGCCGCTTAGCCCCAGCTTTTGCTGACTGGTTGAGAAAACGGACCATTTCACATTGAAGACCATAATCGCAGAGACCGGGGAATCTTTGGCAGTGGAGCTCGGCCTCATTTTACCGAGACGAGGCAGAACTCCTAGCTCGGAATGATTTCTACAAAATAACAAAAAACGGGATATTTTTATCCCCAGACTTCAGTTAAAATACTGGAATTGAAACCATCACTGATGCCACGCCGCTCTGCTGTTGAACTAATCTCCTCAAGGTGCTCTTGCTTGATATGTAATAGGTGCATAATGTTAATAAAAAAAACACAAAAAAGCTTAAAATAAAGACTTGCATCATTAAGTTATTAAAGTAAAGCTTTGGAGTAAATAAAGACGCTTACAAAAATATTTCAGAAACGTGAGATAAAAGTAAAAAAGATTTTTTTCTTGCGCACAACAGTTTAAAAAAAAAAGGTTAAAAAGCGTGTATTAATCTTAAAGTGCTTTGTGGTTCTTGGGGAACCTGAGCACCAAGACACCTCATAGCAATAAAAATATATATATTTTCATTAAAAAAAAATAAAAAAAGGAATGTGCTCCAGCCTAAAGGAACCATTTGGGATCAGTATGAAGGACGGCTTGGCTAAGAGACACTAAACATAACCGATGCTTCACTTTAAAAGAAAAAAAAAAAAGAATAGAACATTCAAATCTCATTCAGTGATTGACCACAGTTCCTCCTCGGACCCATCGGAATCTGACACAGTGGGCGAGGACAGAGGGAACTGACCTCAGTGGAACTCAGTAACATCTGGATTCGTGCAGCAGCCCAGCTGTGCTGTGCTGACCGCTAGTGTCCGGCGGGGTGCAGCGGCGGGCAGGGGGACACGCCGCTCTGCTGGGGCTCCGACGGGCCGCCGCCGGCCTCCCCCTCAGGCTCCGCCTCCTCGCTGTAGAGGCGCCCGAAGCCGTCGCAGTACTCGTCCACGTCCACGTCCACGTCCCCGTCCACCTGCGGGCGGCGGCGGCGGCCGGCCAGGGGCTGCAGCTCCTGGACCTGGGCGCTGTCGAAGATGTAGACGGCGTTGGCCGGCAGCGAGAACTCCAGGCTCTGGAGGTACTCGTCCACCGCCTCTTTGCAGTGGATGAACTCAACGCTGTCCACCTGCAGGGAGCCGGACGAGAAGATTAAACGCTACCCCCCGGCGTCCTGTGGGGTTCAGTCTTTCAGAGGGAATCAGAAATGGCTTTATAGGCCAAATGTACAACGTACAAAGGAATTTAACCTGGAAACCAAGCACCACCCAACAATTCAAATAAATTAGAATAACAATATCCCAAATACCTGTTACGAAATGGGTTCTGGAAACATCAAGTCACACAATAGATTTATAAAAGATGAGGAGAACCCATCAATTGTGTCACAACCAAACAAATCTGTGCTCCAGTTTATCTGTTGTCATGTCTGTTATAAGGAAAACACATGGCATCTTATGGTGCCAAACAGGGCAGCTTTGATTATTAAATTCATAAATTTCCCTTTAGCTTCTTTTGTGGGATTGTAAAAGTTACTCCATGGCTACTAAGGTGTTTTTTAAGTGGTTGGGGGGGGGGGGGGGGCTGACGTGCCCCTATTTAAGAGGGTAGTGGCTTGGGGAAAAAACTGGGGGAATCGTTTGTGTTGTGATGCTCAGAGGGATTAACTCGTCCTCGTGCACAGTTTGAGGGGCTGACATGCAAGTTAAGGTTTACAACTGTGTGTCAGAGCTCTGTGGTCGGGACTTGGAAAAAGGAACAAACCCAACATTTGCATTTTGGCTTTTGGGAAGAAAGAAAAACAAAAAAAACAAAAAAACTCAACCAAACATGGATGCGAATGTACCGACACGTGTCTTAAACGAGCCATCTTGGCCGCCCACCCTGAGCCATGGTTCTGCTCAAGGTTTCTGCCTGTTAAAAGGAAGTTTTTCCTTGCCTGTGTCGCCTAGTGCTTGCTCATGGTGGGAATTGTTGAGTTTCTGTAGTTAACTTCAGAGTAGGGTCTGACCTGCTCTGTTTGGAAAGCGCTGTGAGACAACTGTTGTTGTGATGTGGTGCTATATAAATAAAATTGAATTGAATTGAATCTTCTCTCAGACTCCAATCCTGTGGAGATCCAGGTAATGTCGGAACGCATTCCCAATAATAGACAGGTCGTAAAGAGTGGGACAGTGGTCCTCCCCCCCTTTTCCCTCACCTGTGCTCTCTTCAACAGGTCGGTGAGCGCCGAGAACCAGTCGGGCGTGAGCGCCTCCAGCTCCAAGGTGATGATGGCCAAGGCCAGCGTGGAGCCCCTGAACTGCCAGAGCTGGTGGCAGGCCATGCAGTGCTGCACCTGCCTGCTCCACAGCGCCGCCTGGAAGCCCGGGGGCCTCTTCTGACCGGCCCCCTCCCCCCCCCGCCGCGCCCCGGGGCCCCGGGAGGGGACGAGGTGCGGGTGGCTGCAGGCCAGCAGGGCGTGGAACTGGGACGGGCAGAGACACGGGGGGCCGGAACGTTAGCGGTCACTTCCTGTCCCGTGCATCTGCATCCCCCCCCCCC